ACGAGTGCCCTCCTCATAAAGTATAATTAGACGAAGTATTCCTTGCCTAATTATGTTGTAGACAACCCAGAGAGTGCTCCATGCGCTATGGAGCAGTAGAGAAGTCAGAACAATAAATATATAAGTTATTCAAAGAACCAGGATCTCACCACAATAGACATAAAAGCCCACTTTTATATGATTGCAGCATTGTTATTATATTTATCATTTAGAATAAGCTGTAGATACCAAAAAAACAGTTATTGGAAGCATACACAAATATCATTGATTATTGCAAATTATAATACAACCCAGATTTGTTGTTTAGTCGTTTAGTCATATCTGACTCTTCGTGATCCCATGGACTAAAGCACGCCAGGCCCTCCTGTCTTCCACTGCCTCCCAGAGTTGGGTCAAATTCATGTTGGTAGCTTCAATGACACTCTCCAACCATCTCGTCCTCTGTCGTCCCCTAATCTGTTGCACTAATAATATTTTTGAGCTAGATAATCGTAAGTACAAAGATACTAAATATAAAATTGCAGTAGTTTTTACTAGTGACAGGGAAAAAAATTAACAATGATTGCCTAATTCCATATTATAAAAAATCCTTATGTGCCACCTCAACTTCCTTTACATACCACCATTGGCATGATCCAATAGCCCTGTTGATTTCAGTGGATAATTGTTAGAAAAAATTGGTAGATGGGGGTTGGGAGAAGACGACACAACTTTTACGGTATCGCAAATTCCATGGAAGAAAGGTGGAATGCAAAGGTCATATACAAAATGAACTAGGCAAGTTACACCTCACTCACTCTATTGATCTCAGTGCAATGAACGATGCAGTTGTCTACGGGTCTACTCAGAAGTTAAGTTCTTCTGAGTCCAAGGGGATTTGCTCCATATGACTGCAGACTGAAAACTCAGCTTTAAATCTTAGTTTAGTAGTTGTATTTTAAAACAACGGTTGCCATTTTAATCACCTAAGATAAACATAAATTCTATGGAACTCAAAAACTTGCAAACTACTGCATTCGTCTCAACAGCTTCAAGGAAGAATAGTCTTTTGTGTTCTTTCTAACTTCTGGAGAATTATTTATCTGCTGTTCTGTTTCAAACATTACCCATGTAAAAGGTTAACAGCTAACACATTGCTCAACCTATCCTTTTCAAAAGAAAAAGAAAGACAAGCTATAGTGAAACAGCATTATGTCTGTTAACACTGTACACAAATGCAAACAAACCAGAGGCCCAGAACCTCTTGCACAATAAACGTGTGTGTGCAGGCAGGTGATCACCAAAAGCATTTTCACTCTCTCTCCAAATAAGGACTGGATGTTTGTTTCTGCCACTTTCTGCCTCTTCATTTCCTACCGCCTTGCGTTTGCAATCAGCTCTGAAAAAAATGCTAGGAAAGGTAGCAAGCGTTTCTAGATATCTCTTTCCTTTGAAATACCATTTCAAAAATGCAAAATATGGTGAAAGAGGATTTCCACCTCATCTCTTGTGAGCTAACACAGATTTAGAGCCGAGATACACTGCTCTGATTTGGGTTGGTTTTCTTTTTTTTTAACATACCATGTTACCATTTCCTCAACATTAAGTGACAGGTTCCAGCAAAACAGGCATATGAGGACACTGTTAGACATTGCTTGCTACACAGATTGTTCCAGCGGAAACAGAGCACTATCTAGGCATAAGTGATTTGAGCAACTTTGTCACTCAATTCCAATTACGAAACTTTGTATTCAGTGTTGCCCAATCTTTAATCTCTGCAATTTTGCTCCTTTGCATGAGTTAACCATTTCTTTTCAAACAGGCAGCTGGCTTAAGTTTGGGAAAGCAAAAACATTAAAGGGTCTTCTGGCACCTTCTAGCCAGACAACTTTTATTTAATGTTGGCCATTGTAGACCGCACCTACCTGCATGTGAAGAATTTGGCTGTAGTGCACTAAGGCTTATATCAAATAAAACTTTCAGCCTTTATGGCACCACAAGACGCTTTAATAATGCTTCCACTCTCTCACAGCAAGAACCTAAACCTAGAATCTGAGTATTTTTCTGCCTTCAAAGAACTGTTCATGAGTGTCACCAATGATGTACTGAAACACACACATTCATCTGAAACTAAATCCCATCAAAGGCAATGGGCCTCACCTAAGTGTCTACACTGTAAAGGTGTGATCTTACATGCTCGGAATGGAATAAGCTTCCTTAATCACAACAGGATGTAGGAATCCACTTTGAACTGTGAGATCACTGCTCTGTCTAGCCCAGGTACGGCCACTCACCTGCAACAATTCTCCAGGATTTCAGACATGATTTTTTACTAGTCAGACCTGGAGATCCCTGTTACTTTCTAATAGTCTGCCTTCCAAGTACTAATCAGCCCAATCTTGCTTAGCTTTTGAAATTAAAAAAGGACTGGTGCATTCAGGGTGGTATGGTGGTCTTATAAAATGGACTTGTTTGGAGGTGTACCAAGCTCGTTACACAATCTGCAGCTGATTAAATTCTTCTTTCTACACAACTATTACCAAGAGCTGTTTTCTTTTTCATCTAGCAACTCTTAACTTATTTAGAAGTAAAGAGCACAAGAAGTAAGTGGTAAAAAAAAACCTGTTTCAATTTGGGATCCCTTGCCTACAAGCCTCATTGCAGCAGGGGCCCCATCCTGAGTTTATTTTGCATTCACCCGTCTCAGCTGTGAGAAATGCAGATGGAAACTTGTGAGAACAGCCCCTAGCCTGAGTGTGGCTGAAAATCACAGTGCTCCTCTCTTAATCAAAAGAGGCGGAGAGTCACTAAACAGTTGGCTTTGTAGATTTACCCATGCACCTTCTCACAGAGCCCTGACCAGACCTGTTGTTTGGTGCACAGAACAGATGAGCTGGCAAAGTTCTTATAGCCAAAGAAATGAAGGAATGACTTCTCAAGTTTATTTAAGTCGTAACTTACAACAGGTTACATGAGACAGATGGATGGAAAAATAAGTAGAAAAACCTCTCAAAAAGCACCCCCTTATTTGCATCCTGTATTTGAGCTTAAAAAACCAATATGTTCCTTCCCTTTGCAAAGTCCCTAATCCTGTTTTTCTAGATCTGCTTGCAAATGGCTGCTGGAAGCCACTGAGCCTGTCAAACTGACAAAGATGTCTTTGCTCAGCTGCTTGTCCTCTTCAGACAGACTCCCGACAGAGTTCTACAAACTCCCAAACCTCACACACACACAGAGATTATATGCTACACCAAATATTGCTCCTTGGTCTTCATATTCAGGGCTCTGAAAATCCCTGCACTGTGTGTCTCCCCTTGTTCTTGATGATTTCTACCTCTGGCTTTCCCTAATTTCACGACAAAACTAACTTAAATTACATATAAACGCATGCCACTTTTTCCAAGGTTTCTGTTTTTCAACCCAAAAGCAGATTTTGGAGTGACAGACAGGAAGCAGAGGTCAAGGAGGGGAAGAACAAGGCACTGAATTCCTTCCACCATCGCCTGTTTTCTGGTTCGGAGGAAGCATCCAAAAGCGGAAAACCCTCCCCAAACATTAAGAAATAAAGAAACAGATACAGTTATGAATTAAAGAGTGAGGAAAAGCAGCATAATTCCCATGTGTATCCCCTAAGAAGTCAAGTTCATGGTGTTCAATGGGACTTACTCCCAAGTAAGCATGTTTGAGACCTGAAATTAGGGATTGCCCCAATAGCAGGGCTGGCCCCAAAAAGTAGGCTGCCTGTGTAAAAAGCGATGATGGTGCCCTTTCCCCATGTTTAAAAAAGAAACTAACATGCAGCTGAACCTTTATCGCTGGTGATAAAACAATGTCCTTCAGGGGATATGGCTGGTTTGGGGACAGAGGACAAGCTATGTGATACACGCAGCTCTATCCTCAAACCGGATGTTGGATGGAGGAGGCAACACTAACCATCTGCTAGTACCGTCCCCCAGCATTTGCTACCTGAGGCAGCTGCATCACTCTGCCTAATGGTAGGGTCAGCAATGGCATGAACGTCTTTCTCATTTGCTGTTGGCCCCCCCATGTATCATTTGGACAAGCGCAAGACGCCTGCTCCTCCCAGATGCATAACAGCAGCTACATCCCAAGATAACAGAAAACAAGGTATAACAGGAAGGGCTCTTAACAGATACTTTATTAAACAGGTATTTAACTTTTCTACCATGACAAAGCTAAGACTCAACCCTGGAATAAGTAATAAAGATCCTTAGCAAGCACTTGTAAGCGTAACATTTCAAGAAATTTTAGCTGATGAGCAAATCACACTCTTCTTCCAAAATTAAGGTGTGTAGAAATCGAGTTTTTCCTGCACCTGAGACAGAAAATCTCCTAAGCACAACACAACAATAATCGACAGTATCTAAAAATGAACAATTTGCTACGGAGCAGCGTAACGGAAGGACCAAATCTGGCTAGTCCTCTAGCAGCACCAGGTCAACCCACTCCAGAATCTCAAGCAGCTCGGAATATATCAGTGGAAACCCAAGACAACTTAACCACAGGAAGTCCCACTGAACTTACTGGAATTATTTGGGAGGAAGCATCTATGGCAGGAAGATGCCATACATAAAGAATCTTCTGAGCTGTATAGCTACTGATAAACCCATGTAGGGAGCACCCTAAAGTGCACAGGTCTGAACGCACACATCAAACTAGTGGCCAGTAAGACACGTGGCACCAAAACCCCGATATCTTATTCCCTTAAAATTTATGGCACATGAACCCAATTGGAGGACAAAGGCTTTGTGAGCAGGCACAGCAACTTCTTCCAATTGGATCCCTGGGATCTCCCGGGAACTGGCTAGCTCAAGGCCAGGCAGAAACCAAGAGGCCAGAGTACTTGTGAACATATGCTGAGTGCCTACTGAGCCTATCCTGGACATCAACCCCCCCCCAAAAAAAAACCACAAAGCATCTTTAGTTTTGGGGAAGGAGGGCCCCCATCTCTGCTCCTTCTCTCCTTGAAAACTTTACCCAAAAAGAGTGGGGTTCGTTACCTTCCAGCGTCACCTCCTTGCCGGCCCTTTTGAGCGCCTGGACGGCTTCGTCGTGAGTAGCGTCCCGCAGGTCGGTGCCGTTGACGGCCAGGATGGCATCGCCCACGTAGAGCGCCTGGGTCTGGTCAGCCGCCAGCCCTTTGAAGATCTTGCTAATGAGGATGGGCATCTTGTTCTCCTTTCCTCCCTTGATGCTGATGCCCAAGCCGCCCATCTCTTGCTTCAACACCTGGACGCACCGCTTCTGGTTGGAGATGGCTTCGGGCACTTGCTCGGGCAAGTCGGTGAACGCTGTCCGAGCGCCGCTCCGCCCGCCTGGGTCTGGTCAGCCGCCAGCCCTTTGAAGATCTTGCTAATGAGGATGGGCATCTTGTTCTCCTTTCCTCCCTTGATGCTGATGCCCAAGCCGCCCATCTCTTGCTTCAACACCTGGACGCACCGCTTCTGGTTGGAGATGGCTTCGGGCACTTGCTCGGGCAAGTCGGTGAACGCTGTCCGAGCGCCGCTCCGCCAAGCCGGTTGGGGACTGCCGCCGCCGCCGC